AGATTTAGTATTTTTGGTTTGAAAAATTATATTTTTTTAAAAAAGTTATTTTTGTCATTTATTATTTTGGACTGAACTAGATGCATCTTCATCCAGATGCATCATCAAGACTCACCCTCATTTGGGTGAGAATTTGAGATGAGTTTTAAGAAATTCAGTTAGGTGATCCATCTGGATGTAGCATTTTGATGTACAAAACGAACATTGATTTGCATCTTTACCCAGATGGATCACTTGGGTGAGCAAACGAACAGCACCTAACTACTATTAATTCCAGTGCAACACCAGCTAGCTGAGCTACGAGTCTAACCAAGAATCAACATTCAAGTTCAATGGAATTTCAATATTAGAAATAGATTCTGTTGGGCTTGCTGGTTTTGAATGAAGGAGACACCATAACGTAATCGGAAGAAATTAAGAGCATTACTCCACTTATACATCTCATACTTCTCCTACAATCTTTTACTGACTCGGATATATGTTGCATTTGGTTATTCTGTTCGGGAATATTTTTCTTTGTCGGCTACGGAGAAGAGTTAGTTTTGTTTTGGAGAATACTAGGGGTTTGACGTCAAAAGCAACGTTTAGAGCCTGTCAAATTTAATTGTCCTTTTATAGATAAAACTATATATATGAATATATATATATATATATAATTGTAACAACTAACAACTTTAATTGTCTTTTTTTTATTAAGTATCTTCGAGTTTTTGAAATGTATCTTCTTTATAACAAAAGATATATATACACGATAAAAAAATATATCATCTCCATAACCAACATTCTACTCCGTTACTTCCACCAAAACAGTCTAAATCAAGCCATTTCTGTAATCCCTCCAACACCACAAATTCAAAGATTATTTTCAATCTAAAAAATAATGCATCCTGCTGCATATCTTTTTCAAGTCAAGTCGTTTACGACTTTTTCAACTATTTGTTTCCTACTTTCCTCATACAATTGTTATCCTTGAGCCAACTTGATCATTTATTTACATCGTCCAAGATAATTTCCTAGTTATATATGCTTCCTTCAACCTCGGCTCCACACATGTGTGTTTTGGATGTTATCATGTGTCACTTAATATTGACACACTTCGACTGATATGTCCAACTATATGGCTCAAGCGCAGTTAATGCTTCTTCTTTCCTCTGATCAAATTCTTCATAAACATGTCAATCTCAAGCAGTTATTTCCATCGCCCTGAATTTGAGGGAATATATATTAAAATATCAGAATATTCATTAATCACAATTCTCCATCTATCATTCTTACCTCTTC